AAGCATTTTAGGGGGCCCTTGGCTTTTGGGGGCCCAAGGCGGTCACCTACCTTTGCCTAATGGGTAAGTCCGCCCCTGCTCATTTGTAAAGAGCTATAGTTTAAAGAGATCATGTTTTTTATACTTAACTGATGTGTAGTATTTTAAACCAGTATTAAAGTTGTTGTTAATGGTTATTTGGAGTAAACAGTTCTCCTTTTAGATTAGATCATTAAAAAAACAATTCCTAATATTTAAGTGCCTTTGTTATACATTTGTTTGAAATGCTGCCAATACACAAATACATATGACTATTCATAAGATGTTAAAAGTTACTAGTTACTGTAGAGTTAGGATACAAAGGATGAAAAACAAAGGACGAGATAAAAAAAACCTTTTTTTTTTTTTTTTTTTACATGTGAGCTTATACAATACTAATTTTTAAATTACAGTAAAATTCTTGAAAAATGTGTACATTTCAGCAAGGATGAATTAAATTGATCAAAAGTATCAGTAAAGACATTACTGAACACAAGAATCCTGGTTTCATAAAAATATGAAGCAGTGCGATGGTTTTCAACATTGATAATAATAAGAAATGTTTCTTTAGTCGCAAATCAGCATATTAGAATGATTTCTGAAGGATCATCTCACACTGTAGACTGAAGTAATGGCTGATGAAAATTCAGCTTTGCATCACAGAAATAAATTACATGTTAAAATATATTCACATTGAAAACACTTATTTTAAATTGTGATATTATTTCACAATATTACTGTTTTTACTACATTTTTTGATCAAATAAATGCAGCCATGGTGAACAGAGCACCTTTTCTTTCAAAAACATTGAAAAATATTACTGATCCCTTACTGACCCAACTTTTGAACGGGACTGTACATCACCAAGAAACACACATTAAAGTGAAAGTAAATCTAAGTCAAAACATTTGCTGTCACTATAGTTTTTGACATTGTTCATGTTCATTATGGTTCAGTAATAGTCTCTTTTTTTGTGGCCCATGTTGATTCATTAATCTCCCTGCCTCGGCATCTATCTGAGCAGCTCTGGTTCTGCCCGGCTGCTGATGGTGACATTTGATGGCATTTGCTCACAGCGTGTAATCATTAGTGCGCTGCTGTGAATGCAAATGCACCACTGACAAGGAACAGGAAAGGTTAGAAAGAACCCTATCAAGTTATACTAACAAATGATGGCAGTCAATATATTACATAATCAACAGGTGTCATCTTGAATGTGCACTGTGCTTGCTTATTGTTGTATTTATTATTATTATAAAAAAGTTACGTGAGTGAGTGACGTGACATGTGGCCAAGTATGGTTACCCATACTAGGAATTAGTGCTCTGCATTTAACCCATCCTTAGTGCACACACACAGTAGTGAACACACACACACCGTGAACACACACCCGGAGCAGTGGGCAGCCATTTATGCTGCGGCGCCCGGGGAGCAGTTGGGGGTTCGGTGCCTTGCTCAAGGGCACCTCAGTCGTGGTATTGAAGGTGGGAGAGAGCGCTGTACATTCACTCCCCCCACCTACAATCCCTGCCGGTACGAGACTCAAACCTGCAACCTTTGGGTTGCGGGTTTGAGCAACCCAACCAATAATGTAATTACATACATTATTATGTAATTCAAGACTTAGAATTGATTTCCAATTTGTTGGTGCTCCACAGAATTATAAGAGAGGGGGCGGTGCCTGCACCAGACCAAGCTGGTGGCGATGCTGTTTGCAAACGTTCATTGGAGCTATGGTTTTGGGAAGCACCTAATCTTAGAACTATGTTGGTAACGACAGAACTTGCTGCTTCTGATGCTGTTTTTGGAAACGCACCCCTGGTTAGATCTATTAGACTGCGTTGGTAGCCAACCAGATAACCACCTTAAGCTGATATGACCTGGAATGTATGGAATATTTACCTACTGTAGTAATCTGCCAAAGATATTTCTAGAAAACAAGATGGCATGTGAGGATGTAGACTCCTGAGATCATGGCTTTCTGAGTGGAGATCATTCTTACTGTTGATCAGAGGAGCCAAATACTCCCAATGTGGATATTTTCACTAATTTTCCTACATTCATTTGCTGTGTATATAAACCCTTTTCACAAGTGAAGTAAAATATAGCAGGGTAAACTTCTTTAGAGGTACATGGGAGACTCTAGCAAATATTATGTTTGTGTTTCCTTTTGCTCCAGCTGCAAATTAGATCATCCAATATTGCATTTACATGGTTTTTTCCACAAGGAAAAAAAAGACCTTGAGAAATGCATTACAAGGATGTCAAATTTTTTATCACATTCTGGTCAGTCTGAGTAAGTCTGGTAATGTTGTTTCCATCGGCAAAGCCTCTCTACATTATAACGACAGTATTATCTCTCTTAAAGGGTTAGTTCATCCAAAAATGAAAATTAGGCTGTTTTACTCACCCCCGATGCATCCTAGGTGTATATGACTTTCTTCTTTCAGACGAATCCAGTCGGAGTTATATTAAAAATTGTCTTTGATCTTTCAAGCTCTATCGTTGTACTCAGCGGGTGTTGCAGTGCTTCGGTTCAAAAGACCTGAAATAAAAAGCGTCACTAATTAGAAGTACAAAACGAGGATTTGTAAAGAAGAATGTCGGAGGATTTCGATATAAGCCAAGAGGAGACTGGTTTTCCTTTGCTAAAGTAAGGAAATTTTGCTTCTTTTGATCCTGTAAATAAACGTTGGTTTTCACGAGACTCACCGGCACATGCGCAAAGCTGACCTCATACCTTTTTCATATCTCACACACTGTGATATGTGGGTGGATGGAGTGTAAGGGGGCATTATATTTCTATAAGAGAACCTGTAAATCCCGATTCTCCAAAGTTCAAAGGGGTGTAAATATAATTGCAATATTGAAATTAATTTTGGTTGTCCATGGATGTTTGGATTTGTTTACAGCTTGTTTACAGGATGTCTGAATAGTGGTAGCTGTTATTTGGGAGGCTGAATAACACCTGCAACTAGAGTGGCATGCATATCTATTAAAGAGTGTAGTCAAGTCAAACATACTGAAGTAATTAGTAGACCATCTCTCTTCTTTCTGTCTGTCTCTTCCTGAAGCAGTAGTCATGCTGTACAACTCACAGAAGGTTTATAGTGTCTCCCAGTGGCATACTGCATGGCCCTTGAGAACCATGAGAACCATTTGGGTCAGGGTGAAATAGTTTTGCTGGAAATAAAAAGTGATGTTATTTTAGACAATTATTCTCTTGCAGTGAATTATTTTCTCTTCATTCATCCTTTTCTGTGCTAAATTATTTTCTTTATATCATTCTGTAAATCTATAACAGTTTATCAAAGATTTAAAATTGTAACCATGTAGTAAACATTTGACCAAAAGTATTATAACAATAGTTATAGTATTTATTAAAGTTAGTATTATAATAATAGTAAAATAAAAATGATAATAATTTCCATATTTACTGTGTGAACATGATTTAAACTTGCATTCAAAAGTTTGAAGTAAGATTTTTTTAAAGCTTTATTGAGCAAGGACACATTAAACTGAATAAAAGTGACAGTAAAGACATTTATAATCTTACAAAAGATTTATATTTTTAATAAATGCTGTTCTTTTGAACTTGAAAAAAGTATCACATAAAACAGGATTGTATACCACTGGAGTAATGGCTGCGGAAAATGCTTTGCCATCACAGGTATAAATTACATTTTAAAATGTTAAGATTTTTGTGAAGTTAGTGTACTTTTTCATGCTTGAGATGAAACCTGAGATATGTAATATGTGAAGAAAATATTATTGTATTTAATTTCAAATCAAATTATTTATTATACAAAGAAGTCAGCCTCTTCATCTCATTCCAAAAATGTACTGCAGATTTATACCACAGGATGGTCTTAAAACATAATACATAATTTGGAATGTGGTGGAAATGGTACTGCGGTGGGAATTACTTAAAGCAGTTCTCCCTTAGTCTCGGTATATACACTGACAAATTAAATAAACTAGTGAGCATGTGAAAATTTTGTTTTAAGAGATGTGTGTATTTTGAAAAAATACCCAAACTGCATTTAGCGTGCCTCTGTGCAGCATTAAAAATGTATGTGTAAACACTGTATATTTGCCTTTTCATGCACCTTCTATGCAGTTATATTGTTATAGATTTATCCATACAAAACTTTAAAATATGATTTAAAACAAAAAATATAAAACCAAATTTGGCTCATTAGTCCCATATGGGGGCCCCTGTGGATTAGAGTGATGTCCCATTTGCCAAGGGTAGCTCCATAGGAGTAGTTGAAGTTTGTGTGGTATATTGTAAAGAGTGAAATTTATTGAGTTTTGTTAGTTTTCATTCTTCTCGTAGAACATATGTTGGGTTTCAAACCTGAACTCCAGGGATTTGGTATTCCAGATGTTTGTGTGAGTGACGTCTCTCTGGAGGGAAAGCAGTTTTGGCCTTGGGGAATTGGCTCCATTCATCTTGTGTGTGGAGGAGGTAGACTATAACAACAAAGTTTTATAGAGAGTAAGAATAGAAGTGTTGTGATTATTAAAATAATGAATGGTCATTATGAATGAATGGTCAGCAGTCTGTTGTGTTTTCTGTTGCAGGACCTTCATGTTTTTTGCACAATTTCTGTCCCTCAGAATGAATAGAATACTGTGAGTGAGTGAGAGAGAGTCTTCCAGGTCTTCATCTTTGTGACTGCATCAATCTGAGCCCCTACCGAGGGCAAAATTACCCATGTGTGTGCAGTCCTGTGATAACTGTTAAGTGATGACTGTTTGTGTGTGTGTATGTGTGAGATGTTTTTGAGACTGCACTCCTTCATCATCTGAAAGCAGTCTGACAGCACGCACTGTGTTTACTCTCTGATTTGTGTTTAAGTTGATTTACTGCAGAACATGCCTTTAAAATTTTCTTACAAACTTTGTACTTTTTTCTGCTAGTGTGATCAAAGCTATGAGAAAATAATTTATCTCATATATGTGTTCTCTCCTGCAGGACCCTGTGTATGGGAAAGGAAAGCTGGCTGAGATTCAGGGACTCATTTTAGGGATGCTAGAAACCTTCAACTATGAACAGGTAGTGTGTGTGTGTGTGTGTGTGTGTGTGTGTGCACGCATTATATAGCAATTTGACCTCATCAGCTTGTTATTGTTGAATGCTTTCTATTTTGAATGCTTTCTTGTCGTTTGTCTTGCATTCTTGTACAGTGTGTGTGTGTGTGTGTACCTTGAAGAATCTGCCAAATGTTAATAATTTTTTTTATTTATTTAAGTTTTTATTGTTTTCATCCGGTACATGACAATATCATACAAAACACAGATTACAGATATATACAAATGCTACATATAAGGCTAGAATAATTTTAACAAAATAAGAAGGATCATAAAAATTGTCCTGAAAACACTATTTCACATAACAGATGTTTACATATATCCCACAAGACAAAATAGTAACTTAATAATAATATATTATTAATAATATTAATAAAAACTAATAAAAATGTATTATTATTAATAATGCATTTTTATTAAGGTTTAATATTACATTTTTATGTTTTGTGATAGTTGTTTATGTGTCCTTGTTTGTCCTGAGCAGTTCAGCTGCCCATTTTTTATCAGCAAAATCCTCCAGGTTCTGCACATTCATTGGTTTTCCAGCATCTTCTGCCATCTTGAACCTTTTCCAGCAGTGAATGTTTGATTTTTCACACTGAGGGCAATCGAGAAACTCATTTCAAACTCACAACTATTACAAAATGTGAAGACATTCACTGATGCAACATGGGGAGTGTAAACTTTTTGAATTGGATGATCAGTGTAAATTGTACTTATTTTGTCTTCTGGGAAACATCTATTTTATATAGCTTCTAAAGGGCAGTACTAAATGAAAATATATGATCTTTAAACAAAATAAGAAACATTTACACATCATCATCCTGTTCAAATGTTCACGTATACCTTATTGGCCCCTTATTGTTAATGGCAGCTCCCTTTCACTCACATAAATTATTCACTGCCTATTTTGAATAGCACATTTCTACAGCAGCATCAGTAAACAAAAACTCTAATTTATTTTATTTATTATTTATTTATTTATTATTTATAATAAACTAAAATGTATTTATTTACTTTGTATTAGGGTGTAGTGCAGGGTTTGTGAGGTGTTGATGCACAGCCTAACTCACAAGATTAATTATTAAATATATCCATATAGTATAGCTTCCCATAATGCATCATTCATGTCTTACTTTCATACTAATTGCACTCTTGCTGGTTTCAGACAGCAGCATAGAAAGATGCATCATTTAGCTCTGTTAAATTATAATGAGATCTTCTCTTACTGTTCACACAGCTGAAGCTACAGCAGCTAAATTCACAGTGTTTTATGTGATAATTGGAATGAGATGTGGAGGTGAGATCCTTTGAAAAAGAATAATTTAAAACCTTTATGCCAATAGCAAGTGTTGAGAATATTTACTGGCACTATTTTGCCCTTTGATAATGAAATTATTTATTTGTTACCTCTGTAAAGGCAGCCAGACATTTTATTATCACATTTTCCATTGTTATTTTACTTGTTTTAATGATTGTGTGTGCTTATTAAAGCAGTGGTTCTGCTTGTCGTAAAATTAAGACCTTAAATTAGAGCAGAAAGTAGTGTCATTAAGTGTTGCATGCACTGCAAAAACAATTAATATCTTCCTCAGTATTTCTGTCTTGTTTTGTAGGACAAATATTTAAACATCCTTAAATCAAGATACATTTACTCAAGATGCAAAGTGAAGATTTCTGAAAAATTGAACAAAATTAAGTGAGTTTATGCGATGGAGATTTACCGCTGATTACAGAACCGGCTTTACTGATAAGATGCACATTAAATATCGCATGTGATTTATCATGCAGCCCTAGCTTAAACCAAACATTAATATGTGGGGTAAAACTTTGTTTGGTTAAACCTTTTCTTTTTGCATTAAGGATATTTTTCTGGCTCCATTGTCAGATATTTGTTCTTGTTTTCATCATAAACTCGCTTTTCAGAAAAAAAACACTTCTTAATTTAAGAAACTTGATTTTTGATTTAAGAATCTTTAGACATTTGCACTGGAAAACAACACAAAAAAAATACAAAAATTTTTTTTTTTAAAAAGGGAAGAACATTTTTGCAGTGTGATCAGAAGTAAAAATTCCACATTCGAGTTATTTTATATTTTTATTTTTTGAATTAATTATAAGGTAATAGAGATCTGTTGCTGAGATCAAACTGTTGCTGGTATACATTTAGCAAATTTTGGGTTGGTATTTATTGATTTTATTATGGGCAGAAAAAATAAGTGCACAATAAGATGATACAATACAATCAGTGTAGCTACTACCTACTGATTAAGTTTCTAATATTGGCTTTTTCATGCTAATTTCCAACATGCCAGTAGTTTTAATTTGACCAATAATCTATACTATAAATATGGGTATGAATAATAATAAAATAAGTATTCTACATCAAACTATTAAGAGAGTAGGGACCTGTTAGGACATGTTTCAGCAATATTCATAAAAACATCACAGTGGTGGGTCATGCACACACACACACACAAATACTGTACCTTTTCAATCCCTCTTAATAGCTTTTTAGGGATTGACGCCCTTCAGACGAACTATCATACTTAACTTATTCCAGTTTATGCTCACAGCTGCTTTAATCGGGTCAGTTGAGGGTGGAGTGTTATGAGAACTCATTAATGGCTGTTTCTTCATTAATTAACAAGCGCATAATTGAAGAGGCTCTCTGGACGTCTTAGGTCCCGTAATGGTTATCAGTGGCACGCACACATACACCCTACAGTTTTACTTAATGAACAGCTAAATACTTTCCCATAAATAGTTTCCCTCATCTCAAGCCCTCACAGAACTTTCTTTAAAGCTGTCTGAAAACTTCTGAAGCATTTATTTTTATTTGTGTTTTAGTGTTATTATGTTGTAGCAACTGGATTAAAATCCTCCCTAGTTTCGGCTTTACTAAAAAAGGCTTTGCTTGTTATTTTCTGAAATTCGAGACAAAATAAACAAGAATAAAGAGACTTTGTTGTCTGAAATTCCACTGAACTGGTCTGACACTTATTTATGTCTTTTTGCAATGCTAATATCTTTTATAGATTTTTGTTTGTTAGTTTGTAGAGTTGCTTTCTTCACCTTAGTGTCACCTGTAGGCTAATTGCATCCAGAAATCTGCATCAGACTTCAGTGTGTTCCCTTTTATTCCTTTCCATTCCGTATTTGACTAAATAAATGCTGAATCAAGCTGAATCATGTATGAATTGAACTGCAGACTTTTAAGAGTTTTAATTATAAGAGTTTTAGAAACCTTTGAAATCCATTAGCCCTGTTGCCGGAAGTCGCACAAGCATGTGAAGTACGTCAGAAACAGAATTACTGTTGACGACTCATTGATTCACGCTGATGTCCAGTGTCGATATGATGTTGGAGTTGCAGTTACAGGGAGATGAAAGGTCGTTTCTCAGTCTCTAGAAAAGACATTTATGGTTTAATTAATATGTATGTTGTTTCTTAAAGGCGGGGTTAGGTGATTTGGTTCAAAAACATTTTTTATTATGCTGATTGAAAGTCTCTTCACATCCCGATAACAATCAGTAAGGGCTCATCCACACGAAGCCAGAGCTTTCCCTATCCAATCTTTTTTTCCTTGTTCTTCCATAAACACAGCGTCATCTCAAGAAATATCTCCGTACACACTAAACCACTGAAACTGACTCAAAACGATGTAGTATACATGCCAGACCAGTATGTGGCGCTGTAATTCTGCCACAGAAATACACTAAAAATGGAGAAGAAGATTGGAGCATGAGCATAAACCTTGCACGCTGTATACAAACCCAACACAACAACAAGAAAAGCTAGTAAAGTTAGTAAAGCTAATAGGCTCAGTAGCTTTTGCAGCATGAACACAAGCATGCAGTCCGCCGTTGTTATTTTTGTTGCTGTTACGTGACGTAGCCATGTCTGACTTGGGGCGAGATGTGGCGTGATGACATTGTTTCACAAAATATATGGATTGGCTATAAATACGAAGACACAAAGGTGTTGTTTTCAGATTTATCCACTCTGGGAACCGGTTTCAAAAAATAGCAGTTTCAGGCTCCCAAAACGCTGGATCCATCTGGACAAAACGCCAATACAATACAAAATTTTTACGTATACAGCTAAATGCATCTCTGTGTGTACGGGGCCTAAGTTAAGTAGTATAAATTTATTTACACCTGTGGAAGGCATAGGACCATAAAAGGTTCGTCCAATCAAAATGTTCGCTCTGAACATTTCGATAGGCTGTCCTGTCTGTCTGTCAAAAATGTATTTGCACACCTCTGTGCAGTGTGCACCCTGACAGATAATAGTTTATTACTTCTAAATTATGTTTTTTGATGTAAAAATATTGATAACATTATAAGTGGACCTCAGAGAAAAGTACAAAATAAAAAACAAAGGCAGTTAATTAACCCCTTAAAATCTCCTTGTCTTCTCAATGGAAAGTGTCTTGCTTTTCCCCATTTGAGATATTTGAGTCCTAATAAAAAGCTTTCAACTGCTAAAATCCATTTCTTTGCTTTCTTTCCATAATATTGATGTTTAATAGATCTGTCACACTTTATTTTAAGGTCCCTTTCTCGCTATTAACAAACCATTAACTACGACTTTTGCCTCAATAAACTTTTAATTTGCTGCTTAATAGTTAGTAAGGTAGTTGTTAAGTTTAGTTGTTGGGTAGGATTAGGGATGTAGAATATGGTCACAGAATAATACAGAATATATGCTTTATAAGTGCTAATAAACAGCCAATGTGTTAATAATAGGCATGCTAATAAGCAAATACTGAGAGTTGGTCCCCTAAGTGTTACCAATAGATCTTTAGAGATGTCATATATCATCACTAGCTTAAAATTTGTATTTGTGCATTTAGTTTCGATGTATACTAAAATACAGGACTGAGGATCATTATGCATTTTACATTGTACTGCTGAGCTTATTTTTTTCCTTCCTTGTTATGTACAGCTTCTTTTACTTTCAAAGATTGTCCTTGTTGTTACCAGAGTGGAAGGTATTCAGTTAATCGGGGAAATTTCTTTATTGTGAAAGAGTTTTATTTGCTATTTAGCAGTGTTGGGGAAACATTAGCTTGCTAAGCTAAGCTACAGTACTCATAATTCAAAGCAGTTAAATTCCAGTTAAGCTACCCTTTAGCTAAAGCTGCCTAAATTGGTCAATTAAAGTTTTGTTTAATTGTCTACCTATTAGATTACATAGTTTATTAGAGCAGTATTTATTTCACTCGAAGGATATTAACATCAAACCTTAGCACCTACATTTACATTTAAACAACTAATACAAAAACATCTGAATGAAACATAATTTCTAAAGCGTAATAATTATAAACATGAAATGTCACAAATAGACTTCTCTAAAAACCAGAGTAATTTTTTTAACTAACCGATTCACTAAAAAATCAAATGTTTTTGGAGAATGTCCTGTTGCTGAGCTACTGTCATGCTACTAGAAGTTAAAGGATTTTGCTGTTTCATCTCTGTTTCACTTTCTCTGTCTGTCTGTTTGAGCAATCAATATGGTTATGCGGTCTTTCAGTTTGTCTGTGGAAGTAAGTGTGTGTCAGTGTATGTTTGCACTCTCCTTTCCATGACCAATGGGAATTTGCAGCTTGTCATTCAAAGGAAATAGCGAGCAAGGCAAGAATAACCCCTGACCCCCCCCCCTCACACACACACACAAATTTTCCCCTTTCTTTTGAGACTCTCCACTTGGCATCACTGCAGTAAATAACATGCAGCCACAAAATTGAGATGTAAATTACAAACACTTGAACAATCCCTTAGGAAAGCTTGTCCTGGCATACATTTCAACACACACACAATTTGTGAATTGCCCCGATAGCTGATGAAATATTTTGAAATGTATGTTTTCATTCAATCCTCAGAAATGTCTGTCGGGGTTAAATATGCGTGTGCGTGCGTGCGTGCG